ATGTTTATAAAACAGAACAAGGACCAATTATAACCACATTAGAACATATTGGACCCAAAAATGTAAATGATGTCATTAATTACTTACCCTCATGTCGCTCCAAACCCATAAGACCCTTTTGTGCAGAACACAAATGAAGAAATTTTTAACAGATGCCTTGTGTACGCAAAAACAGCAACTTTACTACCTTTCTGAGGCTTGAAAGTGGTGGTTGCATAAACTGTGAAATGGAGGGGCAGAAATTTCTCAGATATCATTAAAAAGATCTACATTTATGTTTCAAAGATGAACAAAAGTCTTACAGGTTTGGAACAACATGAAGGTGAATGATGAACATTTTTGGTTTAACTAACACATTACGTAAATAGGTTCCCTCAGGGGCACCAGTAGATCTCTGCCTGATCTCTGATCTTCTGGTTCTTCTGCTCCTTCCACCATCCCAATCCTGGATTATTGAGCCATGACAGAAGTTTCCACTTTGAATGCTTTAGCCTGGCTGTTTTTTCTCCAGCATCTAAAGTGAGAAAGAAAACAATAACCAAAATGTAAAGATAATAATAAAAAAAAACAATGGTTGTCCAAAAATGTAAAGTATACACTTGAGTTTTCCCTACTGTTAGGGCATTTCTACCTTAGGGCACAAAAGAGTGGGGACTTACAGGATAAGAACAATTTTCTAGAATTTTCAACAGTTTTTTGTTACTTCCTACAGGGCTCCAGACTGCAACCAAATTTTGTGACCGTTTTTTTCTGCCAGTGCAACTAAATTTTGTGAGCAATTACACTAGCATGACCACTACGTTGCCCCACCTCATATGCTCTGCGATTTCTGTTGCATATAAGAAACATCAAACAGCAAGCGAAACAAAAGCTAGTGAAACGGCACTACTCGTTTGAGCTGTGCAGTGCAGACCGTTTATCAGCTCGGATCAGCGCAGAGCAAACAAACTTCTCCGAGCTCAGAACAGGTTTACTCAGGAAGCAGTGTTGATTTCGATGACACTGTTACTGCACAGTGTGCGAGATCCAGTGAGAAGCAGTTGCTGCAGAATGAATAAAGGTTGCTGTGAGCTCTAGTGAGAAGCATTGCTTTAGCCTGGCTGTTTTTTCTCCAGCATCTAAAGTGAGAAATAAAACAATAACCAAAATGTAAATGTAAAAATAATAATAAAAAAAACAATGGTTGTCCAAAATGTAAAGTATACACTTGAGTTTTCCCTACTGTTAGGGCATTTCTACCTTAGGGCACAAAAGAGTGGGGACTTACAGGATAAGAACAATTTTCTAGAATTTTCAACACCGTTTTTTGTCACTTCCTATACAGGGCTCCAGACTGCAACCAAATGGTCGCATTTTGTGACCGTTTTTCTGTGGGTGCGACTAAATTTTGTGAGCAATCACACTGGTGCGACCACTACGTTGCCCCACCTCATAAGCGCTGCTATTTCTGTTGCATATAAGAAACATCAAACAGCAAGCGAAACAAAAGCTAGTGAAACGGCGCTACTCGTTTGAGCTGTGCAGTGCAGACCGTTTATCAGCTCGGATCAGCGCAGAGCAAACAAACTTCTCCGAGCTCAGAACAGGTTTACTCAGGAAGCAGTGTTGATTTCGCGACACTGTTACTGCACAGTGTGCGAGATCCAGTGAGAAGCACTTGAATTTGCTGCAGAATGAATAAAGGTTGCTGTGAGCTCTAGTGAGAAGCATTCAAATTCTGCACAGAAATCTGTTATAAACAGGTCAAACAGCGCTGACATATAACCAGTAGTAACGCTAACTATAACCATGGTGTTGTGGAAGAAATAGTTAATTAATAGAAAGTTTTCATTACATTATGCATTTTAGGGTTTGTACAACCTTTTGATTGAGAAATTCAAGCACTTTTAAGTATTTCACACAACTATTTACAGCACTTTAAAACTCTAAAAAGCATACAAATAAAATTTTATTTTTAACCCTTTCGGCTCCAGGGTTTTTTGGAAAAAATGCTGGATTTTGACATCAAGATTTCAAAAGCTTGTGGCTTGAAAGGGCTTAAAGATAGAGATCTACTGTAAATTAGAAAAATGTTGGGCATGACCGAAAGTTTATGTGGGGTGTAAATATACTCATCTAATTTGCATATTATGACGCCATCAGGGCGCGGCCATCTTGAATATTATAATATTCAGGAAATAGTAGATATTGAATTGATGTTTGAACTTATTTGCATGTTTTTTTTTTGTCTTTTTATCCTCATTCCAAATGATCAGAAAAGAGGAAACCAACAATAAAACAGGAGAAAGTACTAAATTATTACTATATTACTATACTATATAGTAGTAAAACACATGTGAACAGTAGCCTACCTTTTGATCAGTTCATCAGTAATATTCA